ACCATGCTTCTACTATTATAAAAGTTCAATTTGACCATGCAACTATATTTGAAATGCAATTTCATCCTATAACATTTCTAAAATTCAATTTGGATGACTAACTATATTTCAAAAGCGATTTCATCCTTCAACTTTCTAAAAGTTCAATGTGGTAATCCAACTATTATTTAAAAAGGAATGTTCCCCTTCGACTTTACTTAGGGATGGCAAATCGGCTTGTGGACTGGACAGCAAAAAGCACGAGCCAGCCTGGCTCGAGGCTCGATTTCACCAAGCCTAGGCTTAGGCTGAGCCCCATCTTGGGATTTCAGGCCGAGCCCCAAGCCGACTTGAAAAAAAAAATAATAATAGGTAGCAGCCTCTAAAAGGTAGTTGGCCTTCATAATGGAAGAAGAAGAAGAAAAAATCGAGTCGAAACCTTGGGTCGAACCTCGATTTTTTAGTTGAGCTTTTGCTCGTCTTAAGCCTAGCCCAAGACCCGATTTTTCGATTCACGAGCTGGCTCGACTCGGCTCATTGACACTCCTAACTTTACCAAAAGAATTTGATCATCCAACTATTATTTAAAAGTATTACATCCTTTCACTTTTCGAAAAGATCAATTAGGTCATCGAACTATATTTGAAAAGCAATTTTTTCCTTCAACTTATCAAAATCTGAATTTGGTTATTCAACTATTTTTAGAAAGCAATTTCATCCCTAAACTTTTCAAAATCTCAATTTGGTAATTCAACCATATTTTCAAAACCAAATTTCATCCTTCAACTTTTCAAAAGTTCAATTCCATCTTTTAATTATTATTTAAAACCAATTTTGTCCTTCAACTTTTCTAATAGTTCAATTTTGTCCTCCAATTATATTAGAAAAGCAATTTCACCCCTCAACTTTTCAACTTTTTAATTTGGTAATCCAGTTATTAATTTTAATTTTTTTCATCCAACTATAGTCTAAAGTGTTATTCTCTTCATTTTTTCAAACTTCAATTTGGTCATCCATCAATGATCTAAAGTGCATTTTTATGCTTTAACTATTTATTAACTTCAATTTGGTCATTTAGCTATCATTTGAAACCAATTTCATACTTCAACAATTTCAATTTAGCAATCAAAATATTGTTTAAAACAATTTCACCCTTAAACATTTTCAAAACTTCAATTTGGTGATCCAACTATTGTTTAAAACCAATTACATCCTTCCATTTTACCAAAGTTCAAAATTTCACCATTAAACTTATAAGTTCAATTTAGTAATACAACTATTGTTCAAAAGCAATTTCATCCTGCAACTTTTGAAAGTCTATTTTGGTCATCCTACTATTATTTACAAGAAATTTATCCTTCAATTTCATACTTTGCTATTCCATCTTTCGACTTTTTATTTAACTTCAATTTGGTCATCCAAGTACTTTTTAAAAGCAATCTCATCCATCAACGTTTTCAAAAGTTCAATTTGGTAATTTCGCTATACATTTGATGAAATTTCATCCTTCAATTATTAATTAAAAGCAATTTCACTGTCCAATTTTTTCAAACTTCAATTTGGTCATCCAACTATATTTTAAAATGCAATTTCATCCTTTAGCTATTTACTAACTTCAATTTGGTTATTCAACTATTAATTAAAAGCATTTTACCACTTCAACTTTTTCAAAAGTTTAATCAGGCTATATTCTAAAATTCAATTTCATCCTTCAACATTTTTCAAAACTTCAATTTGGTTTCAACTATTTATTTACCTCAATTTGGTCATCAAACTACTTTTTAAAATAATTAAATATTTCAACTTTTTGAACACTTCAATTTGGTCATCTAACTATACTCCAATAGCAATTTAATCCTTCAACTATTTATTAACTTTAATTTGGCCATCCATCTTTTATTTAAAGCAATTTCATCTTTTTTCTTAGTTCAATTTGATCATCCAATTATTATTTAAAAGCAATTTTATCCTTCAATATTTTCAAAAGTTCAATTTAGTAATTCAAATGCTGGACAAAAGCAATTTAATCCTTCAATTTTTTCAATTTGGCAATCAAACTATTGGTCAAAAGTAATTTCATCCTTCAACATTTCAAAAAGTTCAATTTGGTCATCCTACTATAGTCTAAAATCCTATTTCATCCTTCAACTATTTATTAACTTCAATTTGGTCTTCCAACTACTATTTAAAAGCAATTTCATCCATGAACGTTTTCAAAAGTTCAATTTGGTAATAAAAATATACATTTGATTCAATTTTGTTCCTTCAGCTATTATTTGAAAGTCTTCCAACAACTATTTAAAAGCAATTTCATCCATGACCATTTTCAAAAGTTCATTTTGGAAATCAAAATATACATTTGATGCAATTTCGCCCTTCAACTATTATTTAAAAGCAATTTCATCCTTTAGCTATTTATTAACTTCAATTTGGTCATTCTATTATTAATTAAAGGCAATTTCTTACTTCTAGTTTTTCAAAAGTTTAATTTGGTAATCAAACTATATTCTGAAATGCAATTTCATCCTTCAACATTTTCAAAACTTCGATTTGGTTTCAACTATTTATCGACCTCAATTTGGTCATTAACTATTCTTTAAAATAATTAAATACTTTAACTTTTTTGAAAACTTCAATTTGGTCATCGAACTGTGCTCTAGTAGCCATTTCATCCTTCAACTATTTATTAACTTTAATTTGGTCATCCATCTATTATTTGAAAGCAATTTCATTATTCAACTTTTCAAAAAGTTCTATTTGGTAATCAACTATCCGTTAAATGTAATTTCATCCTTCAACTATTAATTATATTTCATCATCCTTCTATTTTTTAAAATCAATTTTATCTTTCATGGTTTTTCGTAAGTTTAATTTGGTCATCCAATTATAATTTAAAAGCAACTTCATCCTTCAACTTTTTTCAAAAGGTCCAATTCGGTAATCCAGCTATTGTTTAGAAGCAATTTCTTCCTTCAACTTTTTCAAAAGTTCAATTTGGTAATCCAACCATTGGTAAAAAGTAATTTCATTCTTCAACTTTTTCATAAGTTCAATTTGGTCATCCAACTATAGTCTAAAATGCCATTTCATCCTTCAACTATTTATTGACTTCAATTTTGTCATACAACTTCTAATTTTTTTTTCGTTTTTAAGTATGAGGACATTAGAAGGTAATTAAGTTGTTGATTAAACACCCTTCATTTTTAGGACACTTGCTGAATTGAGCTTTTTGTAGTAGACTTCGTATAGTAGAACCTGACTATGTTAAACACTTTTAACTGTTGTGGTCATCACTAGTGAGTTGCGCCATGACCATGTTTGATAGTGATTGTATAACTTGGTGCGTCAGAGATCTATGGGTGGTAAATGGGTCAAGTAGAGCTCATTTTTTTCCATGAGCCACATTGTTTTCAATTTACCTTATTAATTTCTTTTTAAAAAATTGCTTTTATGTCTTATTTATTAAACTTTTGAAAACAAAAAATAAAATAAAAACTGGCTCAATTCATTATGTTGGAAAATATTTAAACGTAAATATGCATAATTAATCAATAACGAGCAACAAGTTACTTAATTATTGTTTTTAGATGATTAAGTAATTAATCCAATTAACCGTAAATTTAAACAATCACATAAACATTCAGATCAAAGTAATAAAGTAAATAACACTAGATATGATTATGGAGGAAAACCCTTTGAAGAACTCTTCATGGGAATAAAAAATCTCTAGGAAAAATTGTTTCGATGTGTTGGAACTCCAAGCACCTCTTCTCCAAACTTTAGAACTCTAAAAATTTATAGGTGAAGGTAGGGCTTTTGATAGATGATCTTATAATCTTTTGTGTTTTGATCTATGGCTAAGGCAAGAGGTTTATGTATATGAATTTCAATGGATATTCTCTTGATCTAAAATAAGGCTCAACCAATGGAAATAGATTCAAGATGAATTTATGAAATAATGATCTTGGAGTTAAAATAAGAGATCTTTAGAAATGTGTAATTGATCTTCAAATAATGATCTCTATAATGAAAAGAATGTTCAACTACTCCTTTGGACGAAGTATGGCATGTATATTTATAATGGGTAGTGTTTGAGATGAAATAAGATTAAAAAACTGTGTTAAAATTGAATCAAGATTTTGGACATCACTCTACCGCTATCTTCACGACAAGAGAGCGGTGCCTCTACCGCCAAAGTGCCAGGCAAGCAGCTAGATGCCTGTTTTGAGTGCTTGAGCTCTCAATGTGCAATCAATGAGCTATTTTGCGCTGACTTTTTCTCTTTGATCTATTTCAAGGACTATACTACCAACCCACTCCCATTGACTTTAATTATAATTCAATAAATAATGATTTTGGAAACAGAAATAATCAGTTACAATTAGGACCTAATATGTTGGGTTCACAAGTCAAAGGGTCGAGCCAAGCTCGATTGTTTAATGCCAGAGGCCTATTAACAATTTCTGTAGAGCAATGATTAATTTTTATTAGTCATGCTGTTGTCTATTTCTCTTCTCCTCTTAGCTTTTCCCGCATGAAACTCTTAACAAATCAACTCAATTAGTTACTAATAAATTAAAATATTATGAATAGGCAATATTTTTTTACGATTAGAAAGAAATTATGCACAGAGACTAATGGTGTAAGTGAAAGAATAAAGATGTATATACTATTTCTTAAAATTTAAGGAGTAAATTGTAATTTAGATCAAAGATTGAGACATCCACTGCTATTTTCACTATGGTCATCACCATTGAGCTGCGTCATGGCTATATTTGATAGTGATTGTAGAATGGGCGTGTCATAAAAGTGATAGATTAGAGAAGATAGGGATGAGAGTCGTTTTTTTTTTTTTTTTTAATTTATAAAATTTGTTTATCATAGTGAATTATTGTAGTTGCGAATGAGGACTTAGTCTCATGTTGATGGGAACTTCTATAAATCTAATATGTTCTTGTGCATCTATTTCCTGGAATTCGGGTTTCTAAGGATTAATATATCATGTTTGATAATAAAGAGTCTAATCATCCTTCACACTTATTTTTATTCGCGATATGTGTGATTCTGATTTCATTCAAGCTATTACCGATCGATTAGGACTCAATCCTAACATAGGGCAATAACCTTGTCAGGACTAAATACATGATATTATTGCTCATAGTTTTAATAGTAGAGATTACAAATAAGAAATCACAGAGTATATAGATCCAATGGAAGCCTAGGCTCAACTACAGCAGCAAGTGGGAACTTTCGTGGAGTGGTCAGCCCAAAAATTTCTTCCATGTTCAACTCTTCAGGACTCATATTTTCAGGCAATCTCCAATTGAATCCATGCAATAAATTAGCCACACTTGATTCAATAACCTTCAGTCCCAAACTATATCCAGGGCACATCCTCCTCCCTGAACCAAATGGCAAAAGCTCGAAATGTTGCCCCTTGACATCAATATTATTCCTATCAAATCTTTCAGGACAGAATTCGTTTGGATCTTCCCAAATTTTTGGGTCTCTTCCAATCGCCCATACATTTACGAGCACTCGGGTTTCTTTCTGAATGTCGTAGCCAGCTACCTTACAGTCTTCGCGTGCTAGCCGGGGTACCAACATTGGTACCACGGGGTGCAGCCTCATAGTTTCTTTAACTATGTTTTTGATGTAAGGGAGATTTGGGATATCTTTCTCTTGTACCCGTCTATCCTTGCCTATAACACGATCAAGCTCCTCGGTTGCCTTCTTGAATGTTTCCGGCTTCTTTAGGAGCTCCGAAATCGCCCATTCCACTGTCACAGACGAGCTTTCAGTTCCACCCGCGAGCATGTCCTGAACATCATCCCCAAATTAATCAAGATTACAATGTCTGATAGGTTTTTCGTCTTTAGTTTGTATAAAATATTTCTTTCCTATAAGTATTGTGTTTGTGTTTGTGTTTGTAACTCATAGATGCTCATAGAAATTAATATAACTCTCATCAGAGATCTTGTCCCTATCCTCTTGAAATAGCTGAGAGGAAAAAAATATAAACTTATTGGAAATGATTTTAGCTACGATATTTGGGATGTGAGTTGAGGCGCAACACTTGACATCTAGGGATGAAGTACTGTTTTGGTACGGCCTGGGAGAGTCGTAACAAATCGAAGTAAACTTTGAATAATAGTAAAGAGTAATGAATTTTTATTTAAGAATACATACCAGTGTAAATGCTTTGACTCCATGCCTCTCCAACTTGACCTCTAAGTTAGGATCTTCTGCAAGTTCCAAGAGCACATCCACCATGTCTTTGCTAGTATAATTTTCAGTTGCTTTCCTCCTAGCATTATGTTCATTGAGAACGGACTCCAAAAACCCATCAAATTTCTTGCTTACAATTTTCATTCTCTTAACATATCCTTGCAAATCAAGAAAATCAATATAAGGGATCGAATCTCCAATGTTAAAAATCCCACTAAGCAAGAACAGTTCATCCATCATCTTATTAAATTCTTCAGGCGAAATCTCCGATTGATCTGAATACTTTTTTCCCAAAACCATTCGACAAATCACATTCAAACTCACTGTCGAAATATAACCTTTCAACAAAATGGGCTTTCCTGCGGATTTGAAAAGTTCGTTGAGAAGGGAATTCATTTCTTCAGTCCGAATATATTCGTATGATTCAAGTCTTTTTGCATTAAACAATTCCATCAGGCATATTTTTCGGGCTTGGCGGTTGTACGGGCCGTAAGGGGACCAGGTTATGTTGGAGTAATTATAGGTGATGTACTTTCCGGGAGCGGTTTTGGGCCGCGATGCGAAAGTGACGTCCATGGTTTTAAGGAAAATCTTGGCCATCTCGACGGATGAGCCGACCACCACAGGGAAGGAGCCGAAGCGGAGGTGCATTATGGGGCCATATTTTTGGGATAGTTCGTGTACTGATCGGTGGGGGAGGGGTCCTATGAGGTTGAGATTTCCAATTATGGGCCATGGTTTCGGGCCGGGAGGCAAATTGAGTTTTTTCCGGCGATGAAATTTTGAGAAAAGGAAGAGCGCTAATATGGTGAGCCATGCTGCTGCAAATGGAGTCCATGTCGAGGTTTCCATTATGGTGGTGGTTTTGAACTTGGGATTGGCGTGGTGGAAGCTAACTAAGTAGGAATATTTATAGTAAAATAAGTAATTATTGGTCTATTATGCCATGTTTGCTACGAATAAAAGTTGGATTTTTAATAAATTTTGATAAAATTGGATAAGATATATTACTGAAAAGTTAACAAAAGTTGTGAGTACCATAAAATATGTCATTAAAAATTAATTTGAGAAAAATAAATTTTTAAAAATGAGAGTCAAACAGGGCCGCATCTTAGGTTTTGATGTTGATGGCCATTGATAAATAAATATTAGGGATATGCTATGGGTACATAAAGGGGTACATAATGGTGTCCTCCCCCCCCCCACATTGCCGGGCCCACCTAGCCCCCTTTATGTACCACAAGGGTTTTCCAAAATATTAATAATTTACCAAGGATGGCGTACTTGGGACCACGTTAAATTAAGGTAAAGAACTTTGCAGCTACTGTTTCTTTTTTAACTTTTGGCGACTTTTACCTTAATTTTTAATTTTTGTATCGGAGATCCCAAGCTTTTCGAGTGCTTGTTATTAGAGGACAAATGGATGAAATCCATCCATAAGTCTGTTAGTTGATCAAGGGATTTGACCTTGACTTTACTTTGACCAATTTTATTCCCATGAAGTTTGTGCCACAATTGAAGAAAATTGAAGGTAGTGACTATTGTCATCGATTAATGGAAGTGATTTTGGTTTTAGGATAGGAAGGTGGGGTTTGGATGGGGTGGAGAAGGAGGAAGAAGATGATTTTTTTATTTAATTATTTTATTTATCTAATATGAGAAAAATATAAAGTTACTAATTTACCTTTATAAAATTGATCAAAATATAATCAAAGTCAAATTTCTTGATAAACTAACAAACTTATAGATGGATTTCATTCATTTGTTTTCTAGCATCATACCCTTGAAAGGTTTTAGATCCCGGATGCAAAAATGATAGACGAAGGTAAAAGATGCAAATATTTGAAAGGTTGGGATCGTAGCTACAATTATTCCTTAAAATAATTTTATTTTTCTCTCTATTTATTTATTAATATATAAATTTTAATACGGCCTCCATCATAAACATATTTAATACCCAATTTTCTCAAGGGATTTCTGTTAACTAAGTTTTTATTCATATCAGGAACACGTATTTTACTTGTTAAGGTAACAATTTTTCCAAAGGTGAGGGTAATATCAACATTTCCTTTTCCAACCACTTTGGAGTGGCCTTCATTATCCATTTAAATCTCTTGTTCTCCATTTGATTCATGATAAGTCTTTAAGAGTGACTAATCATATGATACATGCATAGTTGCACATGTAACATACTACCAATCGAAAACTTTTTCCTTGATAGCATTTATTTCGCTAACAGTAGCCACACTACTGTCTTCATCAATGGAGTTCACTTTGCCTTATTTCTTGTTTTGTTTTCAATATCGACAAACCTTTGCTAAATTTTTTGGGTTTTCACATATAAAACAATCTCCTTTGGGCTTCTTCTTAAATTTGTTAAAGTTTTTAGAAGGTCTCCTCTTGTTTGATTTGTTGGATCGCTCATTTTTTCCATGGTATTGGCCTTTGAAGTGCCCTCATAAGAGTTTTCACTCTTATCTCTTGCCATCGATTCTTCCTTAATTCAAAGATGTTTCAAAACTTGTTTCAAAGAGTAATCTTCGGAACTATGAAGAATCTTCTTTCGATATCCTTTCCAATTCCTCAGGAGATTAGAAATAATTGCTCCTACTTGGAAAGATTCCGAAAGTTCAATCTTAATCGCTTTTAGTTTATTGACGAGTACTTATAATTCATACACTTGGGGGACGAGGAATATTTTCAAGAAATTTAAAATCGAAATAATTTGACATCAAGAATTTTTTTGTACCTTCTTCTTCGACTTTGTATTTGTTCTCTAATACATCCCAAATATCTTTTGTCGATGATGTGTTGGTGTGGAGATCATACAACAAGTTGGATAGTGCATTGAATATGTGAACACGACAAATTAGTTCATCTTCTTGAAGCTTTTGCTCTTGGCTCTTACAGCATCGGTTTCGCCATTTGTTTGTTCTGGTAGTGGTGCCAACTTCGGATCAATAATATAGAAAATCTTCAATGCCGTGAGAAGGGACTTCAACTTGTCTTGCCATCGAGTGAAATTAGTTCCATCGAATTGATACAAGCGAACAAGGTTTTGATTTATGAGTTTGATGGTCGCAATTGTAGTTTTGTTTTTCATAAAAAAATTTAGTTTGAGATTGTTGGAAAAATTGAATTCTTACAAGGGAATGGTAAAAAGAAACCACAAGAAAGAGAAATGTCAAAAATTGACTCAAACAAATAATTGTTGTCCTCAAACTAAATTTGCCCCCTCTATTCTTATTATTATTTTTATTTATACTTAAAAGGACTCATGGGATATGGTTTGTAGAACTTAACAAGCCTTAGAAGAAGAAATACAATAAGAACTTGTGTTTTCTCTTTAAAACTTGAAGAACACTCAAAAGAATGAATATGTCAAGAGACTTTTGTATAGCTCTCTATGAATGGAATGATTTCAATTGTTGGTGGTGTAAATATTGTGTACGGTAATGAAATCTATATCCTATATATAGATTCTCAATCATACAGCACCAAAAGGCTTCAAAAGGTTCATGAGGACATGTATTTTTTCATGAAATGTTACCAAAAAATGAATCAAAAATTTCAAACCCAACGGTCAAAACATTTTCCTGGGCGACAACTTAGGCCAAGGTTTTGGCCTCAGGTTATTGAAAGCTTGGGCACTTGCTCAAGCAAAAATTTCAACTCCATTTTTTCTTCTCTTCTCAATTTGGGTATTTTTGTACTCACTCTGCACACACATTGGATGTATTATCATTCCAATATACTCATCGTTATAAATTGAACACCAATTACAAAACACTATCAACCCTTGCCCGTCTCTTGAAAGTTCTCTTGATTGTACCAATTTTTTCTACTCTAGTTTCCCTAGAATTGTCTTGTAAACTAACAATGAAACTTCAATTTATGCAGCCTCACCTCAAATGGTAACTTTGCCTGGAGAATTTTTTTTTCTCGATTGAATGCAAAAATTTTATTAATAACCGGTCGAAGGAGTTTATGGGTATTTCGGTAAATTCAACTAGGCTTCTGCCTTTAGAGACATGGGTGGTTGGGAATGAAATGGAAGCGTGGAGTGATTTCCTTACCGCATATTATTTATTTGGTGGTGAAGATCCTTGTTGAAGATAAATCTTCACCACCAAATAAATTGAACCTCTTTTTGAAACTAGTGGTGGCATCACTGCTGCTTGTAGTAGTAGTGGGGGGGGGGGGTGCAGAAGATGGGAAAAGAAAGAATATATTTTTAATTTTTTTAATTATTTTTTGGGAACTCATTTATACTTTTTTGAATAATTTGAAACTACATTACGAACTAGTTCTTTATTCTTTCTTCTTCTTCTTCTTTTGTTTTATTTAAATAGAAGAGTATATTCGTCATTTCACATTAACTTATTGATAAAATGGAAGAAGAGGTTTCGCACTTCAAAGTTCATATAGAAAGTTTTCGTCGATTTGAAAAGGAGGGGATATTTGACAATAGGTCCGTATGTTGGGTATTAGCCATAGAAAAAAAAATTAATAAATAATAATAATAATAATAATAATAATAATAATAATAATAATAATAATAATAATAATAATTGTTGAGTATCTTTACCAAACCCTTTCTAGTTTCAAACCAAAATAAGGGCATGTTTGAGCTCCTTTAATTTTGAAAAATGTATTATGGAGTAGTAAATTGATGTAGAATGTGTGATTAAAAAGAAGGAAAAAAATTTGGTTTGCATATAATGTTATTTTATAAAAAATGTATGATTAAAAATGAGTACTATAAAAAAATAATGTAGTAAAATATAAAATAATGGATGACAAACAGATGCTAAAAGTTGAGATATAGAATAAAAAAATCTTAAAAGACGACAAAAATTTAAGGGGGAAAAAATAGTTTACATTGAAATTTGTTATCCAACACTTAAACGGGTAAATCTAAATTTATTAATATAAAAAGGGAAATGCCCTGTGTACAGGTCATTTTCATACAGGGGTCTTACCGACCTCTCACTATAGGGGCGGCCGCACATGAAAAAAAAAATTATGCCGGGGCCCATGATGTGTGTGTTTTGGCAACGATCTGTAAAACAGACCCTTGTACTCACATCATGACTCATATAAAAATTGTTTTCAAAACTTATCAAGTCAAGTCAAGTCAAGTTTATTTTATTTTTATTTTTTTCCATTAAATGTATAGCTGTGCATAATTTTTTTAAACCAGTGATAACAGTTGTTCGATAGGCATTTCGAACACACATCCATTTTTTATACAAGCTTACGCTTATAAAAGTAACTTTTTTTTCACAATAACTAGTTTTTCCTAGTAAGAACTTATGACAAAATATAACAAGAAAGAATTAAAGGGAAATTCTTTATATATAATTTTAAAGTTATTTTTCACTTTCGAGGCCACGTACTTATGCAATTAAATAACTAAATTATTGTCATCAAAGTTTTTTAAATGGGCCCATGCCCCCATGATGTCATGCCTCTAATGGACTTGTGGAATTTAGCTCCCATTAGGCCTCGATTATTTGAATTTATAATGTGGGAATAGTATTTTTTTTTTTTTTAAATAGATGGTTGTAAAAGAATAAAAAAATTTTGATTTATATATAATATTATTTTATTAAAGATTGTGTGGTTAAAAATAAAAGAGATAAAAATTTAAATTAAATTAATGAGTTTTAATGAACTCAAAGAACTGATTGAGCTATATCTATGGCTTAAAGTGAACGAGGGATGATTTAGCTTCTGACATCACTTTTCGGAGAGCGGAAGGTTAAGTCCTAGTGACTTCACCAACTTTTAAGGTGACCAATAAGGTTATTTCTTCTTTCTTTTAGAAAAAGTATAAAATTTTCACGAGAAATGATCTAATGGACATCGGTGTTTAACAT